GAGAGAGAGAGAGAGAGAGAGAGAGAGAGAGAGAGAGAGAGAGAGAGAGAGAGAGAGAGAGAGAGAGAGAGCCTCCGAGTGCGTCATTAGTTCATGTGTCGGAGATGGTAACCTTCTATCCATGGTTCCCACGGCATGATGCGAACTCGGATATACTGTCACATATCAGCTTCCTCATAACAGGAACTTGCTATGTGCTTGGAATCAGATCAACCTCAGCCCCAAACTGCTCACCCTTCATCACTCCACTTCCTTTCTTCTTCTTCTTCTTCTTCTTCTTCGTCGTCGTCATCGTCGTCGTCGTCTTCTTTTAATGATCCTTGCACAGGTTCACCTACGGTGACAATGTTACGACTGCTCCTTCCTGTGAATGATAAGGTTCGATGAACGTCTCACAGCACCCCCAGCGGCAAACCGCCAAGATCCCCGTGATCCAGAAACTTCACCGGACCTATAGATGGAACAGCCAACAATCGGCCTCTACTCGGGGAGGCTGCTACTATCAACCCCCCCCCTCCTCTCTTAGTATACCCAGTCTGGCCTTGATTAAAAAAAAAAAAAAAACGACCGATGGGTGGTGTGTACAAAGGGCAGGGACATAATCCGTGTGAGCCAACGACTTGCGCACTCTTCATCACTCCAGTCCCATTTCTTTCTTTTGCGTCAGTTTTTCCTTTCCCCTTCCACACTTTTACAAATGAACAAAATTGTGCAGTCACTTGGAAATTGGAGTCTTCATCCCCCTCCTCCCCCTCCCTCCCCTCCTCCCCCCTCCTCCCCTCCTCAGCGACGGTTTCTAGAATATCCTCAAAACATCATTGCGAAGGAGAGATTATTCCCCGCCACCTATCTGTATTGCTGCTCTGGGTCCCATAGCAAGAACTACCTTCTTCCCCCGAATACAACGTACGATCAATAAATAGGTGTATTTGCCACATCTTTCAGTCTAAATACAGCTATAATGACCGTATGCTGTACGCGGGGGAAGAAGGTAGTTCTTCATCATAGCATCAGGTACTCCCGAGTCCTGTTAAAAAATGGATGACATGGGGGAAGACACGGGCTGAATGATAATGTTGACCATGATGATGATGATGATGATTGACAAGGAAAATCAGTCCCTGCTCACTTCCTTCCTCTCCCACATTGCGCTCCTCTTGCTCCCGAAGTGCATTCCGTGGATTAGTCGGCAATTAGAGGAGTGGTGATGAAGACGTAACTTCAGCTGACCGCCTTTATATGAACCCTGTGCGCTAAATGATTTTCATTTTGAAATAATCAAATTACGAAAACAATTCAAAAAAAAATCTGAAAAAAAGGAAAACAAACAAAAAAAAGGGCGAAGCTTACCCTATATTTATTCATTTATCGAATTTCATTTCGAGAGAAGTTAAAAAAGGAAATCCAATTAAAGACATGCTGCCTGTAGGCCCCTTTCTCCACAAACTGGGCGATGCGGATTAGGCTCTAAAATTCTAAATACCATCTTGAATTCATTTGCCACAAGCATCGCCAAACAATTGCTGTCAGTGATCGGACGACAGGGGGGAAGACATGGCGGAACAATGCGCTGAATCAAAAGAAGAGAAGGAAAAGAAAAAGAATGCATTGGGCTGGGTGATGACGATGAGGACGATGTTGAAAAAAAAAAAAAAAAAAAAAGACGATGACGACGATGATGATAATGATGATTGATTAGGAAGATCAGTTTCTGTGATCCGTGCTCCCGAGGTGCGTTTTCTTTTGTGGATCACCCACCCAGCCATGCCCGCGTTACTCTGCGCCCCATGTGCACCAATGATTTGCAGCAAAATCAACAGTTGACTTCTTTCTGCCGGCGGCCTCTCTCACGAGGCTAGACTCCTGCCGCTAGCCGAGACACATGTAGAGGGGTAATGCCGGGCCGCGGCAATTTTCATGCTTATTCTACGCCGCTAATCTGATTAGCTTCTTGTTTTTTTTTTTTTTTTTTTTTTTTTTGTGAATTCACTATTGTCAAACTGTGTGACTTGTCGATTGCCGGAGTTCGAGTGACGATGTTTCTGTCGCTTGGATGTGTCTGCGCTCACGTGGACAGTGTTCTCTCTATGCAACCTTTCACACGACCTTTCTCTCTGAAGCCTGTGCACGAAGGAGTATGTTCAGCAGCATCAACGGACGGAAAGATTCTGCTGACGATATTTTGTCTGTTCTCTGAAGCCTGTGCACCAAGGATTTGCAGAAAAATCAACGGAAACATCATCGGACGGAAAGATTCTGCTGACGATATTTTGTTCTCTGAAGCCTGCGCACCACGGATTTGCAGAAAAATCAACGGACAGAAAGATTCTGCTGACGATATTTTGTTCTCTGAAGCCTGCGCACCAAGGCTTTGCAGAAAAATCAACGGGCGGAAAGATTCTGCTGACGATATTTTGTTTGTTCTCTGAAGCCTGCGCACCAAGGCTTTGCAGAAACATCACCCGACGGAAAGATTCTGCTGACGATATTTTGTTTGTTCTCTGAAGCCTGCGCACCAAGGATTTGCAGAAAAATCAACGGGGGTAAAAATTGGTCAGAGATTCTTCCACAATCGTGATCACCTTCTCCTCGTCCGTACCCTCCGATGCTGTTGCAAATTTTATGTCCGTTTTCAAGTTTCTCGGGCTTGACGACCCGAAGCTTCTCCCGTTTGCATCTGATCCACATTGTCCAGGCAAGAGCTTCACCGCGCTGCACTCTCCTGTGAACTCCTCTGTATTGGTGTCTCCTATGGGCACAGGGATTTGATTCTCAAGCATGGCCAACACTGCCTTCATTCTTGGCCTTTTATCCACATCTCGGTGGACGCATTTCGCGGCAACCTGCGCCATGGTCCAGGCCTCGTGACCATTGTAGTCCCCACACAGACTGGGGTCAATCAGATCGGCGATTTTCATGGATTGATCCAAACTCCTTGCCTGCAAAAAAGCAACAACGCAAACAAACACACAGGGACCTGCGCAATCAGTGTCACATTCACAAACACTACTCAGGCGCGCCCTCGGAAGCGTCGACCAAAAATTTTGTTTGACCCCGTACAGAAAAAGTAAGGGGGCTGTGTCGTTACGAGATGTCGTTCCGCCTCCTGTTCCCCAACCCAATTACTTGGGCAATCTGCTGCCTCTCTCAATTCAATACTAGGTGACCATATCCACCTTACCCGGTAAGAGGCACCTCAGCGAAAGAATGCACGCTATAGCTGGAAAACTATACGAGCAACACCAAATAACTTATTTATATACGGAATGAGATGATTTGAGATCGTCCTGTCAAAATACATTGATTTCTCACTCGTGTCTTGGAACTATTTCTTGGTAATTTACTAATTAATCATTTTACTAATTTACTAATTTACTAATTTACTAATTTTAAGTAATTTACTAATTTACTAATTAGTAATTTGGCTAGAATTTGAGAGTATATTCATAACGTATTTGGTTAGGAAGAGCTGTAATTGACAAATCGCTTTATGGCTTCTTTTGGAGGTTTCCAAAGTTTAATGCGCCAGCTTTCAAAACAAAAAAATTAACTTAGAATCAAATTAATCCGTCATGGTAGAGAATCAAAATGTCGTATGCAAAATACTCGAGCTCTAAATCAAAAGCAGGGAGTATGACTTCGTGTTTCTCCAAGAACACAGGAAAACAAAAACAACTCAGCTCTACGCCAAAACGCCAACATGACACTTTCTTCTTTTGGTTTGGCTGGCGCCTCCAGCAAATCTATCTAATGATTGAATTATGATTTTAATCTAATATCTTCATCTTAATTTATCTATCTAATTGTATATACAATCCATCTGTTCTATCTAATCAAAAATTTTCCCGCGTCTCAGCATTGAAGTCCCAGCACTGGTCTCAAAGTCCCAGTGTCCCATGTATCGTAGTACCCGTCAGTCCTACCCAGTCCACAGCTCAGTCCCACGAAAGTCAGAGAAACATCTGGATATGTCAAAGGCCAACCGCATCCAGCAGAGGAAGGCATAGGTATCGGAAAAGTCCAAGCTTGAAAACTAACGGAAAGAACGAAAGTCCACCAGCAGCAAGTTAGCAACACATCAACATGTTTCTGTTCGACCTTGCTGTGGAAGCGCTGCTGCCATCTTGTACTGCCAGCCGCCCAGTGAGGTCACAACAATCATAGAGTGTAGTCAACAGCACCAGACGACATAGTGAGACACACACACACACACACACACACACACACACATACAGAGAGAGAGAGAGAGAGAGAGAGAGAGAGAGAGAGAGAGAGAGAGAGAGAGAGAGAGANAGAGAGAGAGAGAGAGAGAGAGAGAGAGAGAGAGAGAGAGAGAGAGAGAGAGAGAGAGAGAGGGCTGTGGTTGGCTGGCAAGGAAGAAGGTTGACCGAAGAAAGAGGAGGTTGGGGAGGCGAAAGGTGCTTACTTGGTGTTTTGTGTGGAGCATTAGAGCAATCGAGGAGCATCGTCAGTGTGAAATTGAAACCGAAGTGCCATCAGTAGTCCTAGCCGTGCACGAACGCGCGTCATTTCGGATCTCCGTGGCTAGGTACTCGTGTCATTTTGGATCTCTGTGGCTCGTCACGCGCGTCATTTCGGATATCCGTGGCTTGGCACGCGTGTCGTATCGGATCTCCGCGGCTCGGCACGTGGGTCATTTCGGATCTCTGCGGCTCGGCATGTGCGTCGTTTGGGATCTCCGCGGCTTGGCACGTGCGTCGTTTCGGATCTCCGCGGCTCAGCACCTGCGGAGGTCCGCATATTCGAATATGGGTATACATAGCGTGCTTGCCCGGCTTGCCCGACCACTCGTCTACGGTGGATGCCCTCTAACCACCCCAGTTTCCCATTACCCCAAGGTCCCGCTAACAAACTTATCGATGATATCTTGTTTCTTCTCCGGTTCTTGCGTGAGGGACTTCTTCGCTTTGAGCCAGTCTGCCTGATATTCCGTTTCCAAGAGCTGTCTGAGGTCCTCCCATGCTCTCTTCGGGGCCTCTTCCTGCCCTTCAATAGTTCCCTTATATCTTCTCTTCCAAACTTCCCAGAGTGTGGGCAACCGTATCTTTCCATGTTCTAGACGCAGATTCGCTCTCAATTTGCACATTCGATGAGCAGTGGAGTAACCTCGCGTGTGTCGTTTTGGCCCTCTGTGGCTCGCATGTTCGATTACAAGTACACAGCGAGCTGGCCGGGCTTGCCCCACCACTCAGCCCAAGTACAAAAAGGCAGTGTGTCTTTCCATGTTCGAGCGGCAAACTTGTTCTCAATTCGCACACTCGATGAGCAGTGGAGTAACGCCCTATAAACTAGTGGAAGATTCATTCTCAATTGCACATACAGTAGAGTGAGGCCCTGTGATGACGATGTATATTTCCATGATTTACCGGAAGATTCATTCTCAATATGCACATCGGGTGAGCAGTCGAGCAACACCCTATAAAGGCGGAGTATCTTTCCATGTTCCAGCGGAAGATTCATTCTCCATTCGCACATTCAGTGTGCAGTGGACGGACGTCCTATAATGGCGGTGTATCTTTCTATGTTCTAGCAGAAGAGTCAGGAGGATTCGTTCCCAAATACAAGTACATAGCAAGTGTGCCTCGACATGGCGGCGCGCTCTTTGCTACCGCGCCCCCCCCTCACTTTCCCCCTCCCCCCTGCAAGCCCTGCCAATTCTTTTGTTGCCCCTGCCCCGCGTTCCAATACAAGCACATGGCCCGTTGCAGCAGGCTCTTTCCTACCCCTGCCGTCCCCACTACCCCTCGCTCCCCCCTCCTCTACACGCCCTGCCAATTCTTTTGCTGCCCCTGCCCGGTGTTCCAATACGAGCACATGGCCCCACTGTCCGGTCCATAAGGCATGCCCTGTCCCACAGTGGGCTGCCGGCTCAATCCTGCCGTGTATAGGCAGGATTGGACCTGGGGTGCGGCGTTGCCGCACCGGCTGATCTGCTGCACTAAGCTCTAAGGTCTCTCTCGACAGCTTTGGTCCCTTCCTTGTATATGTCTATATGACAACAGACAGACAACTCCCAATGTTTCGTCATGATTTCTGCACGTCTCATCTTCATTGTTTCATAACAGTATCATCATGATAATTTCTGCTGCAAAAACTCTCGCGTCTCTCTCCTCCTCCCCCCCCCCCCCCCCCCCCCCCCCGCCGGCTAGAAAAGAGACCTCATGTGGCGGCCAAAAAAAGCAACGGCATCGGGTCTCATGACCCGCAAAAAGGGACAACCACGGTGGACCCCTTGCATTGGGCATACCCCCCATGGTGGGACGCCTCACCTTGTTCCGCAGGCGAAGCCACAGCAGGTCTACTTGTTATCAATAATAATAAATAACAACGAGCGGAGGAGCCAGAATCAATGTTCGATTACTACCCCTGACTGTCAGCACATAAAGATCCCTCCTTGACCTCCTACACCTTTCTCTCTCCTTGGTGTACCATCCGGCCATGGCGGTCTGTCCTAGCCTAGCCTGGACGTCCAAAGGACAATGCCACCCCCATCAGGGGCCTTCCAGATGAAGCGCCAACCTGATCTGAAGGTGCAACTCCATCATAGCCAAATGTGAGCCTCCTTCCCGGTTCCCACTTCCTTCCTCCTACTTCTATCGCTCCTCCATAGCCAGGCTAGAGGTCCATCACCCTCACCTCCATGGCCTAGGCCTTCCTACTACTCTATAGCCATGGAGGTCTTCACCATCACCATCCAGCTCAACCTTCTCCTCCAAGTGCTCGGTCAATTTCCCCCTCTGGGGGGAGCAGCAGAATGCTCACTTGAAAAATGAGCCAAACTTTTGGCCGAATTTTACTATAGCTCGGCCTTGCTTGCGCTGGACCTACGGGAAGTTTCTGCCGTTTGGCGGGAGGATTATTGCAGCCTACAGATACCGCCCATGGCCTGAATATACCCTAGTAGCTGTCTATATACAGCGCCTAAACCTTTGGAACTTTGTGGAAGCAACTGGATTTTCCCCGTGAGCATACTGGACCTACCTGGGCCGACCTGAGTTGCTGAAAAAGGCCTACCTACTGGGTCCCTATCAAATTCTACCACTACCCCTGGCTTTCTACAGTTTCCGGTAAGTTCTTCTGTTGCCAAATTGCGCATCTGTCCCTGCGTCTACACCTATTACCATTCTACCCCAACTCACTCTGGCGCATAAACACAGCACGGAAAACAGAGTTCACACAAAGACAGAGAGTTGGACCCAGGCAAGCACAAGGCAGATGCACGTTAGTGGTAGGTCACACACACACACACACACACACACACACACACACACAGAAAATACAGCAGGCCTAGCGCAGTTGGTACACCCCTGAACTGTTGAAATACAGACCCCCCTTGAGTTCGAACTCTATTGGAAGCAGATGAGTAAAATACTACAGTTCTGACTTACGTAGGGCCGGTCACTTCGGTGATGATATTACAAGCTTGTAGCCCTTTCTAAAAAAGGGCAAAAAAAAAAAGAACAGCATTTTCTCAGAAAATGCAGAAATCTCAGACAGTAATCTGTGCGTTTCATTGCAAAAAAAAAAAAAAAAAAAAAAAAAAAAACCTCCAGAGGGACAAAAAGTCCGCAAAATGCTGATTGATGGAAAGCAAAAAATTGAACATGCAACTCACAATTTCCGATAGGCTCACACCACTGGTACAGGGGTTCGTGCCCGTCAAAAGCTCCATCAGGAGGACACCAAAACTGTACACGTCACTTTTCCTTGTCAGCTTCCGTGAGTAGAAGTACTCAGGGTCCAAATACCCTGCATGAAGAAAACACAAAAAACCGATGGAACGAAAGAACAAATTGAACGGAAAGAGAGAAGACGCGGAATTAAAAATGCATTCAGCTTATGAACAACAAACACAAGCTTTCTCGGCCTTTTGACTAAGTGTAGTATCTGTTCTCATCAGTTTAATATCTGATCCGTGGTCCATCGGGCCTCATTAAAAAAAAAAAAAAAAAAAACCACAACCACCACCAACGGGCCTAGCTCAGTATGGTACACCCATAAACTGTTGAGATTGTGTGGTATGGCCTCCATGTTTGCTCGTTTGGAAGTAATGGTATCAGTGAGGGGAGCCCCCTGAAGAGTCCGCGTGCGGCATGGATGAAACGCGTCGAGGATTGGCTGCGTGGTGGTGGTTTGAGATCGTGTGGTGCACTTTGAATTCGGAAGTTTTGTTCTGATCTGTCATTTGACTCTGATTTCTCTTTGCGCTATTCGCTTGATCTATGTGTGCGTGACGGAATGGATCTACTGGTGCATCTTGTGCCTCCGTTCTCATGCTGAGGCAGTCTTGCCGGGCTGTCCTTTCTCTCTCTTCTCTCGACAGACCCAAGTTCGAATCAACCTACTGTCAGATGGACAGAACAAAATCATTCTGAATTACCTGGGGCCGGTCAATTCAATGATGATATCTCAAGAAGGCCATCGCCCTCTTTAAAAAAAAAAAAAAAACACAACCGCCATCAAGGATGAGATTCCACAGCACATATGAATGATGAAGGTGATATTCTGCTCCACCTTCCGGGACTCGCTGATGGAAGAAGAATGGAAACAAAGAGAGAAAAGAAAGGCGTTCAGCTCACTGCCAACAGACGCAAAGGCATGAAGGAGATGAATCTACAGCAAAACATTCATGTCAAGACTCGAAACCTCGAAAGCGATATTCTGTATTGGAGCTTGCACCCAATCTGCAGAAAATCCCCACAAAACAAGTTCGCAATGAGTTGGAACTTAGAACACTTTACTCTTGTCAGCTTACTTAAGCTCTCGTGAGATTACATCTTGGAGATGATGATAATAATAATAATAATAATAAAAATAATAATAATAATAATATAATAATAATAATAAAATAATATTAATAATAAAAATAATAATAATAAATAAATAAAAAGGGCGATGACCTCGAGATACCGTCATTGAAATGAACGACCCCAGGAAATTGGAAATTCACTCAACTAGTGCCATCTGGATTCGAAGTTCGAACTCTCTCGCGTCTGTACTTCGACAGTTCAAACTTCATAGGTGTACCAACTGAACTAGGCCCAAAAGAAAAACATCTGTGTCTAAAATACAGAGTGCCCCACACTACATTACCAAAAAAAAGAAAAAAAAAGAAGAAAAAAAAGAGAGAGAGAGAGAGAGAGAGAGAGAGAGAGAGAGAGAGAGAGAGAGAGAGAGAGAGAGAGAGAGAGAGAGAGAGAGAGAGAGAGAGAGAGAGAGAGAGAGAGAGAGAGAGAGAGAGAGAGAGAGAGAGAGAGAGAGAGAGAGAGAGAGAGAGAGAGAGAGAGAGAGAGAGAGAGCGCTGTACCTGGTGTGCCCTTGACAACGGAAGTAACTCCTACTGTCATGTTATTTCCCAGATCAGTGGGTCCTTCTTTGCTGATCCCGAAGTCAGCAATGTATGCATTGAAGTGCACGTCCAGCAATATGTTCCCCGATTTTATATCCCTGTGTATGACTGGATAGCGGGGACAAGATCATGGCAATTTTGACAAGTTAGCGAACACCTGCTGAAAAGGTAGTAAGAAATAAAAGATTGAAAAGTTCCCAGCACCACAGCAAAACCACGCTCCCATCATGAACGAAAGATGATCGACCCAACCAATGCTGCATCAGGCCATACGTTGCACATAGTCATTACCTTCTTTCTGCCTATCACCATGCAAATAAATTATAATACTATGCAACACATCCTTTTTCCCACGTCCATACCTATTGCCCGTCGTCTCTCCCGCATGGATTAATGCACAGACGAGGTCATTGCCAGGATATGTAACACAAAAGCTCATGTAGTAAGCACAAATCAAAAAGCTAATTCTTTAAGATATGAGACCCATCGGGATCGGGCTTCATAATATGTACTCACTGCTCAGTGCTCAGCCTAAAGTGGCCAATTTCAGCCCCCCTCGCTTTCCTATATCTTCAATTAACCATCAAGACGTCACTGGTTAAGCAACAATGGGGCAAACTGGTCAGGAACAGAGCAGCATTCTCTCTCACCTGGTGGATCCGCGCCGTGATGCAGGTACTGAAGGCCCTCGGCGACATCCAATGCAATCTTCAATCTCATTGGCCAGGTGATTTTCTCTGGATGAGCTTTCTCTCCTGTGGGCAAATTGGAGGGTCAACAAAACCCAAGTCCAACCAAAGATAAGTTCTCTGCGGCTCATACACACTATGGAAGGAAAAGCTGCAAGAGAAGGAAAATCCACACGTATATAAATATATAATATATATATACGATGCAGGCATGCAGGCTGGGGATCCTGATGTGTGGACATGCTGGCCTGTAACAGCAATTTTTGCCAAAACGGCCATTTTTTTTAATTATTTTTTGAACGAAATTGAAACCGACTAAATTGGCCTGATTCAGCCCGAAACAATCAAAATTTTGACGAAATTGAGGGTACCGTGTTCGTCAAACGCCGTACCCCTTGGGCTCCAGTAAGTCCAGATACATCCAGGGTGTCAGGCGTTCTTAAAATGCAGGGGTATTCAGCCCAAAACAACCAAAATTTTGACGAAATTGAGGGTCCGGCGTTCTTAAAACGCCGTACCCCCTGGACTCCAGTAAGTCCGGATACATCCCGGGTGTCCGGCGTTCTTAAAATGAGGGACCCCCTGGACTCCAGCTAAGTCCAGATACATACAGAGGGTCCGGCATTTTAAGAACGCCGGACCGTCGAGTCAATTTAGCCGTTTTCAATTTCGTTCACAAAATTAAAATTAAAAAAAATGTTCGTTTTGACGAAATTGCTGTTCTGTTGTGTGTGTGTCCCACAAGATGCACGTACATTCAATGTCCGGGTACATTCAATGTCCGGGTATATTCAATGTCCGGGTACATTCAATGTCCCATTTGGGAATTGAATGTAGAAGTCGTGTGTTTAACCTTTAAAGTTTAAACTTAACTTTACACCACCAGTACTTCTTCTAAGCTTCTTTTTCTAAATGCTGATCTCTGCTGCAAGCCGAGTTTCGCCAACGCGCATGCGGAATCGAAACGATTTGGCTGGGACCACCACCCCTTTCTTTCGGTAGGCCGGTAGTAGTCAAAACAGACTTGGGGAAGAGCACAAAGACAGGCTCAAGGCCAACCGCCAAACGTCTGAAATTTCGGATTTCCTAAGTCTACAATAGGATTGAGCGAGAATCTGAGTACAGCTTCAAGGATAGAATCCACTAAGAGAAAAGAAAGATGAGAGTAACTTAGACCACAAGGAGAAACGACAGAACCCAACCTGGTAAGGAACCGTTGTACGAATCCCCGTTAACAACGTGAAAGGGCTCATCCCTTGTTGAGGCTTATTCCCTTTTTTTTTCTTTCCAGAAGGGACCCGTGTCTGGATTAATCCGGACATCCAGTAATCCGGACACCGATCTGGACATACGGACCTGGACAGCCTGGTTATAAATGAACAGGTCCGGATGTCTGGATAATAATTAATAAATAAGTTAAAAAAAAAAAAAAAAACAGACATACGTTGCTGTAGTTGCATTATCCGACTTATCTTGAACACACTCACATACACACAGAGTGTCGCGCGTGCGCACACACACACACACACACACACGCACACACATACACACACACACACACGCACACACACACACACACGCACACACACACACACACGCACACACACGCACACACACAACCGGTTCTCCTTGGCCCGCTGAAGCTCACCCAAGATTACAAGTACAGGCCCTTCAGGGCCTGTCCGGTTGGCCCAACTGTCCACTAAAAACTGTGCCCACAATTTTCGGGGGTCCACCAGGCACTGGAAAATCGCCTGGGGACCCCAAAACAAAATTCGAAATTTCTAGAAATGGGGCCCAACCGGACCCCCCAAACGACTGACTGGATCCGGACATCCAGACCGGACCTTCTGGATCCTGATCCGCACGTCCAGTTAACAACCATGGTTTTAGTATTTTTCACCAACAGATACGTATTACATACATATAACATTCTGCCATAAAGCTAGGTGGGATAAACAACATCCTTGGAAGGGAAAGAAAGTTTAAGAAACACCATTCTCAAACCTCCAGTATGAGCCCCCCGTCTACTCAGAAACTTGTGGCCGCATACATGGGCGAGCATCGTCCATGTAGTGGCTTGGCGCGGGGACCTGTTCGCTTTGTTCCGCCACAAAAAAGTAATAGGTCCAAGAAAATAGGTTCTGCCAGTCTGCCATACTGGTGGTTTAAGAAAGAAAATGTCGTTGACAATATAATAATAATAATATAATATATCTTAGCCAGCGACCAAGCTCAGGATCAGTATTCAAGATGCTCATTTCGGAAAGTACAAAAGTAACAAAAATGATAGAAATGTGTCCTTCAGGACATGGCCCCTGCGAAAGGATGATGACACGCATAAATCGAGAAATGGTCCCAAAAAAAAAAAAGCCAAAATTTTAATTTAATAATTAAAAAAAAATCTGGAAATGCATTAAAAACTATTAAAAAGGCAGAATACAACGAACATAAATTGATGACGACAACAAAAAGAATAGCGAAGTTTCTGAGGACTGAGATTTCACCTCGACAACAGGTATCGAGTGAGACGTTTGGAGAACAATTTGAGAACCCAAATCAACCCCAAACTCAAACAAAGAAAAAAAAAGATAAAAAAATCAGCCAATCATCTTACCGTGGAGATGGCTAAAGAGGCTTCCATTTGACTTGAATTCATACACAAGCATTCGCACCACGTCATTTGTACAGTAGCCCAGAAGATTCACAAGCTTCTTGTGATGAAGGCGTCCAAGGAGCTGGAAAGGTGGAAAAATTGTTGCCAGAGTTAAGTCATCGGGGAAAAAAAAAAAAAAAACATCAGTGTCCGAAGTCCGGAAGTCCACATTTTAATCATCATTTCACTTCCATATTCTCCCATCTCATACAACTAAAAGCATTCGTGGTAAACAAAATCTGACCATGACAGCACTGCCATCTGATTTTAACATTCACAGCACCCAAGTGTGCTGCAGCACCCACAACAACCAACCTCAAGTCCCTTATTTTTCCCACTTCAGAAGGCAACAAGTAATCGGCCTCACCATCTTCCACAGCACATATAATGATATTCTCTTCAAGATGAGCCCCGTTGGGAGTCGTTGGTATCGGTGCCCATACTGCTGATCTAAGGCCTCCTATTTCCCATCAGCTGGACAGCACACATGCAGCAAAGTGCCGCATCCACGAACCGGATGCACCTGCAGTTCCCTGGATGGACTTGGAGCTAAGTAGAGCCATCTTAAGTTGAGCAACTGAACCAAGAAACTTCTTTTTTTTTCTTTTTTTTTTTTCGCCAGCTACTCGTCCAACTCCAAAGACTGTCTTTGCAGAAAAAAACAGGCTCTGAAAACCAGTGTTCAACAGCCCCAGAGTCGATCTAAGTCCCATACGGGCCTACCGTCTTCACCCGAATAGAACGCCTGGCCATTATACCTGTATTTGGTGCAACTTTCAGTCTAAATACAGTGATAATGAACGGGCAGAGTTCTATTCGGGTGAAGGCGGTAGGGAAGTGTCTGAGAAATGTTCTCCGCACGGTAGATTTTGAGAACTGGCAGGCTTTCTGGGCAGGCCTGGATTTGAGTGCCCCGGGCCTGGGAATGTCGCCAATCGGCCCCCCGTATGAAGCAGAGTAAAATAATTTTTCCACACAGATTGACCGCACAGCCAGATGAGCCCATCTGGGCTTACTGGATGGTAAGTTGTCTCCAAATCCTGAGAACTGGCAGGCTTTTTTTTCTGGCCAGGGATGGATCTGAGTACCCCTGGGCCTGCGAATGTCGCCAATCCGCCCCAGTTTGAACGAGAGTCCAAGAAGTTTCCAGAAGTTAAATGTTAACCACAGATTGCACACGCTTCCGACAGTCCGGACAGCATTTCGAGAACAAAAACGCAGTCCGTCGTAGGACTAACGTCTTCACCCGAATAGAACGCCCTGTCATTATAGCCATATTTGGTGCAACTTCCAGTCCAGATACGGAGGTATAATGACTGGGTGACCGTTGGCTGAAAAAAAAAAAGCCTTTCCCTGTGGCCAAGTACATCCTCGTCTGGATCCAAAAAGTGTGGACAATCCCAGGACAAGGGTCTCTTTTTTTCAAGGAGGTCGCATACTTCTCCTGGGGGGACTCCCGCCTAAGAACTTCCTCCTACTTCAGCTTTTACAAATTTCAACGGGGCAGTTCCCGTTTTCGAACTTCGGTCATTCTCCGAAGATTTTCTTTTTCTGTTTGTTTACAGTAGAACCTGTTTTCGATCTTCGGTCATTCTCCAAAGCCTTTCTTTTTTTGTCTGTTTACAGTGGAGTACATAGTGTAGTAATTATGCAAAATTTGCAATGTAGCTGGAGTTTTACTATCACAGAATAACTACATCGCATCCAGGCGTTCACCACACTACGCCTCCACAGCCCTTCTACTCCATTCTGCTCAAGCCGTGACGCGCTTCTAGTTGCCTGTGTATAAATACTTGGTGAAATGCTCAAAAACTCCCTCGCTTATCGAGAAGCAAAAGAATTTAAAAAAAAAAAAAAAAAAAAAAATGTCGAAAATGTTGGCTGATAAAGCTCGCTTTGGGAAACGTGTCACCACGGTAACCCTTCCAGCTGATGTCGTTTGCTGGTAACGCAGGAGTTACTGACCGGATTCCCAGTCCGTTTTTTCCGACTAGGAAAAAGCTCTATCAATTATTCTTTTTGTTATCGGACTCGAGCCCACCCTTGCGCTTCGAGATCCTTGTATACGCTGTCGGGTCCTTTACCATTTTGTCCATTTCCAGATCTTCTGTCGGCCGATATCCGTCTGGGCATTTTCCAACTGCGAGTGTGCCGGTTTTTTTACCTTTCAATCCCCGTCACGTACAGAGCCCCCAAGTACCGAGTAGTGACTTCACCACCGTACCTGGGCCGGATTTACATTTGGATCCCCCGTTCAACCCATCTTTTCTCTCTGCCAGTCAGGTACAGAGCCCCAAGTAGTCGAGCAACATCAGCTCAAACCGACTTTTTCTCGTCAGGTACAGAGCCCCCGAGTACCGAGTAGTGATTTCACAACCATACCTGGGCCGGTTTTACATTTGGATCCCCGTTCGAACCATCTTTTCTCTCTGCCCATCAGGTGCAAAGTCCCACATGGTCGCCTTTTTACAGCGGAACCTGCTCCTTTTCCCTTGTGTTTGTTATATATGTCCTTGCGGACTTTGGACACTGCTCGGGGTCCATGTTCATTAATTCTATTTCTACCATTGCCTGGGACACAGCCTTCTCTGGTTTTCCAGGTTTTATTTCATTGCTCTCGTTCCTGCGTATTTGGCACCTGTTCCGCAGTCGTGCTTGGGTTCGGTGGCGTGAGAGCCGTACCTTGATTCTCCTGCTGTGTGGCCAAGTTTTATTGCGTGTCCGAAGCGCAGTTTCCCGGGTTGTACTTAGCAGATCCTTGGTTTGAGAACCAAGGCCTCCGCCAGTCCACGGCCCAAGCCTTGTGGAGAAACCTTTCATCGGCTATGGAAATTTCGGAGGCTCGGGGCTACCGGACCACAATGGCTGGCGGCGCCAGCCAAAAAAGCAAAATTAAAAATGCACCGCTGGCGGTTTGGTAATGCCTGGCACGCGACAGAAGGCCGCCAGGCCCGGGTGTGCCGGGGGTTAATTGTTATTGTCAAATTATCAACGTATCTAACGAATTAAAAGCTGCCTCAAATACAGCTATAATTCCACGTGTTCTATCTGGATGAAGACCATAGTGAGGGAATAGGGGTCGGCGTGAGTGAGACACTTCATCTTTTTATTTTTTCAAAAGTGAGCCATCCTTGTGCAAGGGCCATGTTAATCTTCTCTGTATTGTTCCACTAGAAGAAATTCCAGTACTTCTTTCCACAAGGAGAGGAGGGGGGGGGGGCGAACGGCTTTGCTCTCCAAATTCAAATTCACATCCCACTCATTGCTCGAACCACTGGCACTTTTCCCAGCTACATTGCTCCGACGTGGGTGTTAAACCACAAGTACACGGCCACAGCCTTGCAGTCCGTCCGAAACTTGTTGCCACAAGAAAATGAGGCCAAAACGTCAAACGCTACGCCTGCCGTAGATAAGTTAAATCGGCGGTCGCGTTTTAGTTTCGCGCCTCCAGAATTTGAGGTGTTAGGCCCGCGGCCCCGCGGCCCAGGTGCCCATGTACTGGTGCTTTAACAAGGGCGCGTCTTTCGGGGGGCCGACCCACTGAATTGAAATAGTTGGCAGCACCAGGCAAAAAGATTCAATTCCGTGCCTGGGCCAATTACAGTGCATGTCACTGACAGAAATCGGCATTGGGAAAAGGGGGCCATAGTAGTACTGGGCCACTGGCAGTTCAAGAGGGGGACTGCACTCTCAAATTCAAAGTGAAATCTCGCATCACCTTCCTTGTTGCTGTCACAGATATACGTCCACCGTCCTCAAATTTTGATTGATCTTTGAATTTGAGTTCTCAAACTGTAAGCCTGCACCATATACACTGATAAGTAACAAGACGGGACTGGAAGTTGAAGAGGAGGCGAAGCTTCCAGCTTGGAGATTAAGCTCATCCCCATCGATTGTGCTGGGAAGCGAAGTGAAGAGGCATCACCTCATTTTCTGTGATGAATTCCTGATCCCCTTGCTTGGTGTGCTTTTGCTGAATCTTGACAGCAGCCTCTACCCCATCTGGAAGCACTGCCTGCTTATTGCGCAAGCCCAATAAACATTGAAAATGAGACAACCAGATGATGTCAATGAGGATTAAATTTACACAATAAAGGCACATGATGTAAAGAACTGCTTCCAAGAAATATTCACGGCACATCAAGTTGATTGCAAGGAAAATGAGCGATAGCGAACTTCAGAAACCAAGCAGCATCATACACATGAGACCAGATAGTCGTGACCTCGAACCAAAAGCAGAATTGCAACACGAGTTCCACCGAATAAGGGCACAGCAAAAGCTCATAAGTGACAATGTTGGAATAGTCTCAATGTTAGAATAGTCTCATCATCATCAACAAAGAACCAATGTCGACATCCTATCTGGCGCTCTGCGCCCAGACTACAAATGGCAGATCCTATCTAGCCTATCTACAATGCCGCTGGTGACGTCAACAGCTCCCCCGAAGTACGAGCACATCTCGGCCAACGCCGTTCATCTCACGCACCAGGTATGTCTCTCGTATCACTCACAACCTCGATCCCCCACTCACAGATGCCACATGCACCCAAGGACCACCATGCACCCCATCCAGCTATGCAGCGCAGCTCGGCTGTGGCTGCCTTCTCTCCCTGCTCTCCCTGCTCGCCCAGGAGCGCATGAGCACTGACCAGCGTCTAGCGCAGCAGCGCTTGCACAGCATGCAGCCAGTGCCCGAATGAGGAATGCGTGGGCAGGCACTTTCCTAAATGGAAATTGCCTGCCTGCTGCGTGAAGCGTGGATACGCTGGGCCCCTGCCCAGAAGCTTCCGGTAGGCCCAGAGAAGCTGTGCCGCAGTCCAAACGAATCAGACCCTGGGCCTCTGGTGGTTGCCCGTGTCCAACGGCCATCGGCCTGTGTTCGGTCCATGTTGTGTATCTGGCCCAGTGCCTGCCTCAGTTACATACGGAAAAAGGCAGCCTGGGCCTGGGCGCTCTCAACCAACTGGCGCTGCGCAACTGCCTGAATTTACCCAGTTCCGTGGTGACCCCAAAAATAGGCCTGTGGGCCCTGGGAAGAGCCTGCCTTCACTTAGGGCGGCCGACTGTACAGAAAATAGGGCCCACTAGGGCAGATCGAGCCCTTAGGCCTCGCAGGATGCCCAAACGCCAGGAAAACAAACCAGGGACACTGAGAATTATTTGTATGTACCCCAGATGAAGGTCACATGCAGCAGCAAATGAGTGGATGAACGGGGTAATGACATAGAGGCTATCATACAAATGCAGGTGCACACACACACACACACACACACACACACACACACACACACACACACAATCAGTTTTATGTCTGTCAGCCTTTCTTCTGTTGTATGTCCTCCCCTTGATTTTTTATATGTATTTTTTTTGTATGCCCGACTGAGCACCTTAAGTAGTGCCAAACAGTCGGTGGTTCCTTGTTTGGAGTGCCTACTGCACTCTTATGGGGGCCGCTCGATTCGGGATGTCTGTATTGCCTGTCGGTGATGGCGGATGTTCGTCGGAGTTACTCCCTGGCTCAGTGGGTGGTGGGAACCAACAGTCTGCGGGGTTCAACCGTGATGTGAGTAAGTCATGTGCTGCTTTGCTCCGTGTTGGATGCGTGGACGTCCTCGTCTGAGCTCCGCCGCTGCCCTGCTGCCTGTCCCGTCTGAGCTCCGCCGCTGCCCTTGTGCTTTGCTGCTTCGCTGCTGTGCTGCTCATCCGCTGGTAGTGCCTTCCGTGTTTGCTGCTTGTGTGCCCTGTAGGTTGGTTGCCTTGGTGCTGGTGCCTTGTGCTCCGCTCCACGGTTGCCGAGCTGCTGGTCCGCTCACCCTGTCGTCCCTTGCAGTGTGGCTGCCCTGCTTGTGTTGCCTTGTGCTTCACTACATGGTTGCCGCGCTGCATGTCCTGCGTGCCATGTCGTTGCTTGCAGTCGTTTTTGGCGTTGTGCAGCCGTGTTGCCTCTACTGTGTTGCCTGGTGCTCCACAGGGTTGCTGCCCGCTGCTATGTTCCGCTTGGGGACAGTCTGCCTTCAACAAGGGTCAAAGGGTTCATGACCCAAACCATCAAATACGGAGATTCCGCAGATTGTCGAGGGTTCAGCCTCCTAATGATCGGTGCAACTCCAACGAAACAATCTATCATCATCAGTTTTTTTTTTGTTTTTTTTTTCGGTCTTTGTTTCTTGCCTTGTGCTGTTTGTTTGCCCACCCTCCTCCCCTCTACCCTCCAGCCTGTCCTTTGCTGATTTCTATTCTTCTGGCCGCTTTGCTGTTTTTCGATACTTGTACTTAATATGCCCTCCTGCCTCCCCCATACGTTTCAGCCTATGTGCTGCCTCACTGCTTGTTCCTCCTCTCATGGCTCTAAGTTCATGTGCCTCCCCCATGCGTTTCAACCTATGTGCTGCCTCACTGTTTCCGTGTTGTGGTTTGTCATCTTATGGTGTTGGTTCCCTGCCCTTTGCCTCGCTGTCCTTTGCCTTCCCTCCTTCCCTCCATTTGTTTGTGGGGTGTTATTGCGTGTGTTCTGGTCTGTCTGAAAAAGAGGAGACGCCACCCACCCCCCTCTTACCCATATTTGGCTGCGTTCGACTTTACAGCCCTTGAAATAAGTACCCTCACCACAAATGGACACACAATATGGTTTTACCCTGCCGCGTTGAGAATCATCTCCACGACTTGCACCTTGCTCATAGTACGTTGCTGGTCGGCGCAGCGCGAGTATGACGTGTCGTACTCACGCGACTCTTGTGACACACACATGCTACACACACACATTCATTCTCATATGTGTATTCCGTCTTTCTTGATCTGTCTGAGTACTTTTTGTATGTCTGCATGGTTTGGGTCATGAACCCTTTGACCCATGTTGACGGCAGATTGTCCCCAAGTGGAACATAGCAGCGGGGAGCAACCCGGCGAAGCACCAGGCAGCGCTGCCGAGGCAACACGACTGCACAACGCCAAAAACAACTGCAGGGAAAGACAGGGCAAGCAGACAAGCAGCATGGCAACCGCACAGTGAAGCACAAGGCAACACCAACAAGCCAGCGAAACTACACAGCACACAGGCAAAGGACGCGGAAGGAACAGCATGCGGATGGGCGGCAGGGCAGCAGAGCAGCGAGGCACAAGGCAACACCAACACCGCAGCCACACCACACAGAGAGCACAACAGCTTACAACGAACCACATGCGAAGCAAGCGGGACGGGCAGCAAGGCGGCGGCAGAGCGCAGAGGAGGCAGTCCACACATCCAACACGAAGCAAAGCGGGACATCAACTACTAGGGAGGTACTCCGACAGATGTCTATCATCCACCCCCAAACCATACGCATCACACACATCACAGATAGAGCGTCCCCCCTAAGAGTCATGCAGGCAAACTGCCAACCATCAACTATATAGCACTTCTCTTAACGGATATCCGCAGATTGTCAGGGTTCAGCCTCCTGATGAGTCGGTACAACTCCAACGAAACAATCTACTATCACAGTCTATCAGTTGTTTTTCTTTTCAGTCTTCAGAATTTTTTTGGGACTTGTGTTTTTTTAGCTTGTCTGTTTAGTATGCTTGTGCATCGTCTGCTTGGTCTGTTTGGTGTGCTTGTGTGTCATTTGCTTCGCCTGCTTGTGTGTCATCTGCTTGCTCTGTTTGCTTTGCTTGTGTGTCGTCTGCTTGGTGTGCCTGTGTCATCTGGTTGGTATACTTGCGTGTTGTCTGCTTGGTATAATTGTGCGGCTTGGTATAATTGTGCGGCTTGGTATAATTGTGCCTCGTCTGGCCTCCTGCCTCCCCCGTGCCCTCCAGCCTTTGCCCCTTGCTGCTGTTTGTCATCCTGTGTCTTGTCGCCTCATATCTTTCCCTTAGTACCTTGTGTGCCGTCAGCTTGGTATACTTATGTGTCGTCTGCCCTCGCACCCCCCCGCGCCCTCCGGGCTTTGTCCCTTGCTGCTGTTTGTCATTCTATGTCTTGTCGCCTCATGTCTTTCCCTTGTGTGTGTCGTCTCCTTGGTATACTGGTCCGTCATCTGCCCTCCCACCTCCTCCTGAATGCCCTCCAGCATTTGTCCTTTCCTGCTGTTTGTCATCCCATGCTTTACTGCTTTGCCTGGTTCTTCCTTTTTTTTGTTTGATGTTTACCTTCTTTTCCATCTTGCTGGTCTTTTCGTTTGTTCCTTTGGGAATGCTCCTGTTGCCAGGATGTTGGCGTAGGTTGGTAGTACATCACCAAGTTGCTTCAAGTGCTACTCCCCACGATAAAGAACATAGCCCTGGTGCATGTATTAGCCTATGGTCTGAACAGTCGTACCATGGCTTGCCAAGGGGTTCGAAGCATGTAATGCTATGGGTCTCCCCCCCCCCCCCACCACCACCAAGTTGCTTCAAGTGCTACTCCCCACGATAAAGAACATAGCCCGGGTGCATGTATTAGCCTATGATCTGAAGGGCCGTACCATGGCTTGCCGTGGGGTTCCCCTCCTCTTCCCCCCCCCCCCCTCCTGAAACACACAGAGAGAGAGAGCTGTCTCTTATACACATCTACAATGCCGCTGGTGACGTCAACAGCTCCCCCGAAGTACGAGCACATCTCGGCCAACGCCGTTCATCTCACGCACCAGGTATGTCTCTCGTATCACTCACAACCTCGATCCCCCACTCACAGATGCCACATGCACCCAAGGACCACCATGCACCCCATCCAGCTATGCAGCGCAGCTCGGCTGTGGCTGCCTTCTCTCCCTGCTCTCCCTGCTCGCCCAGGAGCGCATGAGCACTGACCAGCGTCTAGCGCAGCAGCGCTTGCACAGCATGCAGCCAGTGCCCGAATGAGGAATGCGTGGGCAGGCACTTTCCTAAATGGAAATTGCCTGCCTGCTGCGTGAAGCGTGGATACGCTGGGCCCCTGCCCAGAAGCTTCCGGTAGGCCCAGAGAAGCTGTGCCGCAGTCCAAACGAATCAGACCCTGGGCCTCTGGTGGTTGCCCGTGTCCAACGGCCATCGGCCTGTGTTCGGTCCATGTTGTGTATCTGGCCCAGTGCCTGCCTCAGTTACATACGGAAAAAGGCAGCCTGGGCCTGGGCGCTCTCAACCAACTGGCGCTGCGCAACTGCCTGAATTTACCCAGTTCCGTGGTGACCCCAAAAATAGGCCTGTGGGCCCTGGGAAGAGCCTGCCTTCACTTAGGGCGGCCGACTGTACAGAAAATAGGGCCCACTAGGGCAGATCGAGCCCTTAGGCCTCGCAGGATGCCCAAACGCCAGGAAAACAAACCAGGGACACTGAGAATTATTTGTATGTACCCCAGATGAAGGTCACATGCAGCAGCAAATGAGTGGATGAACGGGGTAATGACATAGAGGCTATCATACAAATGCAGGTGCACACACACACACACACACACACACACACACACACACACACACACACAATCAGTTTTATGTCTGTCAGCCTTTCTTCTGTTGTATGTCCTCCCCTTGATTTTTTATATGTATTTTTTTTGTATGCCCGACTGAGCACCTTAAGTAGTGCCAAACAGTCGGTGGTTCCTTGTTTGGAGTGCCTACTGCACTCTTATGGGGGCCGCTCGATTCGGGATGTCTGTATTGCCTGTCGGTGATGGCGGATGTTCGTCGGAGTTACTCCCTGGCTCAGTGGGTGGTGGGAACCAACAGTCTGCGGGGTTCAACCGTGATGTGAGTAAGTCATGTGCTGCTTTGCTCCGTGTTGGATGCGTGGACGTCCTCGTCTGAGCTCCGCCGCTGCCCTGCTGCCTGTCCCGTCTGAGCTCCGCCGCTGCCCTTGTGCTTTGCTGCTTCGCTGCTGTGCTGCTCATCCGCTGGTAGTGCCTTCCGTGTTTGCTGCTTGTGTGCCCTGTAGGTTGGTTGCCTTGGTGCTGGTGCCTTGTGCTCCGCTCCACGGTTGCCGAGCTGCTGGTCCGCTCACCCTGTCGTCCCTTGCAGTGTGGCTGCCCTGCTTGTGTTGCCTTGTGCTTCACTACATGGTTGCCGCGCTGCATGTCCTGCGTGCCATGTCGTTGCTTGCAGTCGTTTTTGGCGTTGTGCAGCCGTGTTGCCTCTACTGTGTTGCCTGGTGCTCCACAGGGTTGCTGCCCGCTGCTATGTTCCGCTTGGGNGAGAGAGAGAGAGAGAGAGAGAGAGAGAGAGAGAGAGAGAGAGAGAGAGAGAGAGAGAGAGAGAGAGAGAGAGAGAGAGTACCTTATAAACTGGCCCATAGCCTCCCCTTCCCAGGAGTATGGCAAAATTAGATGTCGCCTTCTCGATTTCAGCAACTGAATAGTTAACACCACAGGGCTTGAACGTAGGCACTTCTGACGGTGCATTCTCTTCATCATGTTCCTGTCCGTCTTGCTGGCAGACCATTGCTTCCCATTTAGCTGTGCAGAATGTCAAAGCACATGTCAAATAGTAAAGAAAAATGTGCAACACCTTTTTTCTTTGATAGACATGGGAAAATATGATTCTATCATTCTAGGAAACAAGTCACCAACATAGATTATTGGTGTTCTGTACAACCAATTCATTACTATTTATGTTGATATTATTAGTAATTTATTACCATTAACTTGAAGCCTTGAAGGCAAACCTGGAACAATCTCTCTCTCTCTCTCTCTCTCTCTCTCTCTCTCTCTCTCTCTCTCTCTCTCTCTCTCTCTCTAATAATTTATCACCATTAATTTGAAGCCTTGAAGGCAAACCTGGAACAATCTCTCTCTCTCTCTCTCTCTCTCTCTCTCTCTCTCTCTCTCTCTCTCTCTCTTCAGCGCGCAAGCGCGTGCAGGTGCTCTCGATGTCGCCTCTCCCGCTCGCATCATCTCTTGAAGTTCCCTCTCAGCCCCTTTCGCACCATCTCTCTCTCTCTCTCTCTCTTGCCCGGAATTGTCCCACATGAATGGCAGCGCTATTGAAATATCCCAAGGCCTATGCACAGCAAATATTTGTCTGTTCCCACTGCCTGCTATCAGAAGACCTACAAAGAACCCAATAATTCCAATCGACGATCGCGGCAAAAGATAGGCGGAGGTCGGCACACAGCATCTGAAGAAAACAGACCCCGAGGCCGACAGGCTTTGGAGGGTTGTAGGGGATGTACTGTGTGGAGAGGGAGGGAGGGAGAGGGAGAGAGTGCCAGAGAGAGAGCGAGAGAGAAAGAAGCTGCATGTGTTTTTGTGACTAATAAAGAGTGTGTAGGTGCATGTGCATGTGTGTGTGTGTGTGTTTCAAAAACCCTGAAGTCTCCCTCTCTCATTCCATCCATAAATCATCACAAACCATCCATGAAACACAAAAAGGTGTAGATAGGTTGGCCACGTTTGTGTGGTTAAGCGCCAAGTGCCCAGACACCCGTCTGCCAGTAAAGTGGCACACTTGCAGAAATTATATATATATAGTATTATATATCGTCAAATAGAACTGCCCGGTAAACCGTAGGCAGAGAGGGAGAAGAGGACAACAAATGAGGGGCTGTGACAAACTGTTTCGTCGGAGTTTCACCGACTCATCAGGAGGCTGAACCCTCAACAGTCTGCAGAATCCCC